TAAAATATGATATATGATGCTAAATCTTTACAATAAACTTTTGAAATACTCCTAGTTTCTTCACTCCACCAACATAGTACTGTACATAGCTACCACTTTGTCACCACTGGTCTATTGGCCATCTTAAACTGGACCAGCATCTGTTGCCAAGGCTCAGGCACTGTACAACATCACAATCAAGTTCATCAATAGCATCCAGATAGTGATCAACTTTACCCACTTTCCCAGTTGGCACCAAGATAGTATTGATGGCAAATAATGTCTGTAGTTGTGTCTCAGCGAAGCATACTCCTCCTTATAATCATCAAGCTACATGGTGTGCAGACCAATAAAAATAAAAATCGGCTATCTGGCAATGCTGAGGTCCAAGAAATACACATTAACAAACTGAACTGGAAGAGTTGGCACCTCAGCTATACAGTCACACTATCACCAGGAAGCTGTGCTGGTGTTAGAAAAGTAGCAGGGGAAGGAGTAATCACATTATTTTACATGTTGTCTTAAAGAGGTTCTTCTGTTCAACATTGCTTAATACATTAAATATGAAGACATACTGATGTCCTCCTATAAAAGTAGTGTGTCTGTGTGCCATTAGACATTCTAAAACATCTCTGTTTTTTCCTCATAATATTTCAGGAGTCAGGCTGGTTGTTGGTTCTCGCTGCTCTGGGAGAGTGGAGGTGCTTCATGGAGAGACCTGGTCCACAGTGTGTGATGCTGACTTTGACCAGCAGGATGCAGAGGTTGTGTGTCGAGAGCTGGGCTGTGGGCTTCCTGTGGAGGTGCTGGGAGCAGCTGCTTTTGGCAGAGGGGAGGGTCAGGTGTGGTCAGAGGAGCTTCAGTGTAGAGGCAATGAATCTCAAATTCACTCCTGTCCGAAATCATATTCACTAAAACACAACTGCACCCATGACAGTGATGTGGGTCTGGTGTGTGGTGGTAAGTGATTTTATTTATGTATGTATGTATTTAGTTAGTTAGTTTGTTAGTTTGTCAGTTAGTTATTAGTAAGATATCACATTTTAATAAAGGAAACATATTTCATGTTCTTATCATGAACATATTTCATATGTTCTTAACATATTTTATGTTCTTAAGTCATATAATGTTTCCTGATTTAGTTTTGTCATCTGTTTATACCTTCATTCCTTCATACATTTACTTTCTCCGTCCGTTGTACAGACAGTGTGAGGTTGGTGGATGGTGGAAGTCGCTGTGCTGGGAGAGTGGAGGTTCTTCATAGAGGACAGTGGGGAACAGTGTGTGGTCATAACTGGAATATCATTGATGGTTCAGTAGTATGTAGGCAGTTAGACTGTGGTGAGCCACTGTATATGGATATTACTGTACCAGGATCTGGACCGATCTGGATGAGTCTTGTGGACTGCAGTGGATCAGAGTCTACACTGAAACACTGTGGATCACTGGGTTGGGGCAAACATAGCTGTACTCATGTTATAGATGTGGAAGTCGTCTGTTCAGGTATGTCCAAATCAATCTTAATATAAACATTTGCTAATTAGAGTAAATCTACAGAAAGCTCAACGACCAAATTGCTCAATTCTTATAACAGTATAATCAGTCTATAACAATTATTATTGTTATCCACTGATTTTCAGACTTTGAGGCACATTTTCTTAAAAAAAAATGTAATCTAAATGCTCACCATGTGACCATCAGGGACAGAGATGCAGTCTCACCTCCTTCTCTAAAATGTAAGGGAATGTTTTTTATTCAAAAGAAAAAAAAAGAATCAACAAAGTTGTTGAAGTCATTAAGTCATTATAACATCATTCTTAATAAAGTGTCCTGTGAGTTTGTATATACATGGCAGTGCTCAAAGTTAAAGTCAACTAAGAAAATTAGATTTAAAAAGTTATTTATCATGGCTGGGTTTCCCAAAAGCATGTTAGCATAAAATTGATTCTTAAATGGAACAGTGAGGATCACAAACACTCTCTATTCCAGTTAAGATGATCTTAACACAGTTGCTTAACAGTTGCTTTTAGGAAACTGGGCCATGGCCAGTAAGTGTTTATTTGCTCAAAAAACAAATAAACTAGCTTTTTGAAGAAAAGGAGTAAGAAATTCTAGATACTTTTTGTTGTAAATGTTTTTCTTTTTTCATTTATTCCAGTGATTTATGATAATTTTATAAGTTAAAAAAACAACAACAAAAAAATAATTGCAAATAAAAATGCTTTTAAATAATGTGTTTAGGTGCCAAAGATGTCTGCACAGTACTGTTTGTTAAAAGTTTTGAATTAAAAACCCAATTCCAAAAACATTGGAACAGTAGGTAAATGCAAATAAAAGCAGAAAGCAGTAATTTTGGAAACTGTCTTTCATAGATAGTCTCCTGACAGCAGCACAAAGAGGAGAGAGATATTTAACATTTAATTTTTTCAATTTTCTTGATTAGGAAGCTTATGGAATGATCAAAAACACCTCTTATGTAACTTTCTATAGGTAAACAAGTGAATAGTAAATGGGTGTTGCTATCATGATTAGATATAAAAAGAGCAATCTTGAAAGACTGCACCAGCAAATAGTCCAACAGTTTAAGAACAGCTTTTCTCAATGCATGATTGCAAGAAATTTAGATCTACAGTCCATAATACTATTAACGGTTTTAGAGAAATCTCTGTGCATAAAGAGGAAGGCCGAAAACCAACAGTGAAAGCTCATGACCTTTGATGTCCTGTGGTCTGATGAGTTAAACTTTCAACTTGTTTTTGGAAATAATGAACAATGAAAGTTCAAAAGCCACTGTCTATCATGCTATGTGGGTTTGTTAGTGCCAATGGCATGGCTAACTTGCGCATCTGTGAAGGCATCATTAAGGTTGAGGGGTACATATATATTTTGGAGTAACATATGCTGCCATCTAGATGACATCTTTTTCAGAGATTTTCCTGCTTGTTTCAACAAGACAATGCCAAATTACATTCTGCATGTGTTACAACAACTTAGCTTCATAGAAAGAGAGTGCAGATGCTAGACTGGCCTGCCAGCAGTTCAGACCTGTCTCCCTTTGAAAACGTGTGGTACATAATGAAGCACAATATTCGACAATGGAAACTCCGGACTGTTGAGCCGCTGAAGTGTTATATCAAGCAAGAATCAGAAAGAAAAACTATAAACTAATTAGTATCCTCAATTCTAAAATGATTACTGAACATTGTTAAAGGGAAATGAGATGTAACACAGTAGTAAATATGACCCTGTCCCATCTTTTTTGAAATATATTTCAGGCATCAGATTTAGAATAAGTATGTGTGTATACAAAACACAAAAGGTGATTAGTTAAAACATTAAATATGCCCATTTTGCCCATTTTGAACGAAGACTGGTAAAGTTGTATAATGCTAAAAATCACCTGGTGGAACATCTCACTAACAATTAGGTTAATTAACCACAGGTCAGTAATATGATGGGTATAAAAGATCATTCCAGAGAGGCTTTCATGTGTAAAGATGGGGAGGGGTTCACCACTTTGTTAAAGAATGCACAGGCAAATTCAAGAATAACATTTCAGCCTACACTTCAAAAGGCAGCATCTGTGATGATATGAGGTGCATTATTGACTTGATGTCTTGCACATCTGTGAAGGCACCATTAATGCTGAATGATGTATACAGGTTTTGGAGCAACATATCCTGCCATACAGATGACGTCTTTTTTAGGGAAGGTCTTGCTTATTTCAGCAAGACAATGTCAAACCACATTCTGCATGTATTAAAACAGCATGGCTCTGTAGTAAAAGGGTCCACGTGCTAATCTGACCTGCCTGCAGTCCAGACCTGTCACACATTGAAAACAAAAAATATGACAAAAGAGACCCCGAACTGTTAAGCAGCTGAAATCCTATATGAAGTGAGAATGGAAAACATTTCACTTTCAAAACTTCAGAAAGACAGAAAGAACTATTATTTGTATTTTACTTCATAGTCTCATATTTGTTTGTTTGATTTGGATGTTAAATCCCATTTATTTATGTCTTGTTTGTATTTTATATCGCCCAAAAACATGAATTTTAGCATAAAATATTGTGCTTACAGCAAATGGTAAGACAAGAGTTAAATATTCTAAGACTAAATCATGGATAACTGAGACATGCCTGTATTACACAAACTCGCCATAGACAAGTCAGATGTTTGAATTTGCAGAAGTTTGTAAGTGCAGTGTCTGTAATATCCCCTCATCACCATATGTAATTCAATTCTGAATATGACATTTAATTGGTGAGCACATATTGTAGCAGCTACTGCATGTGTATGCATAGAGCTGCAATGTGAACCATGGTGTGGTTGAGGCACTGCGTTCAATGTGTGCTCTACAGTAGTGGCCCAGATGACATTATTATAATTATCCTTGACCTTCCACAATCAAGTTCTTACTCATACGTGCAAACATAACTCTAGTTTTATGTAGTATTTTCCATGCAAGGATTTCCGCAATGAACAACTTTGTCAATGTGAACAATTATTTTATTACTAGTTGCATTAATGTAGGCTTTTGAGACAGTATATTGAAACTGAGTTTAAACTTTTAGGAAGCACAGTTGACCAAAACTGTAACATTTAAACCCAATTATGAAGAGCCATGAAAATAAACGTCTCCCTCATTCCTTTTCAAATTGAGTGACAATATGAAAATTTAAAAGGTTGTAAAAATACGCATCACATGGAAATTACAATGCTTAACTATTGCAAAGAACGCTTCTATCTAAAGAAGTTTGCCATTGAATGGCTGGTTGTTTTGTACAATATGTCAGTGCCTATTTAGAATCTTGATATCTACTATAATATTATTGTGTTAAGGTTTTATTTTTGTATGTGTTATGCACAGTTTTACTGTGATTACATCCCACGCAGGTCACAGAAAGCCCAGACTTACTGGTGGTCCTCATTCATGCTCTGGGAGAGTGGAGGTGCTTCATGGAGAGACCTGGTTCACAGTGTGTGATGCTGACTTTGACCTGCAGGATGCAGAGGTTGTGTGTCGAGAGCTGGGCTGTGGGCTTCCTGTGGAGGTGCTGGGAGCAGCTGCTTTTGGCAGAGGAGAAGGTCAGGTGTGGTCAGAGGAGCTTCAGTGTAGAGGCAATGAATCTGAGATTTCTCTTTGTCCAACATCACCTTCACTCAGACTCAACTGCTCCCATGACAGGGACATTGGACTAATATGTTCTGGTAAAGTATAAAATTTGAGCTTTCCAGTATATAATATTAACCTGGGCTGTACAAGGGCTGGTGGTCCTGGTGCTCTGGGGGAGTGTAGGTACTACACTAGTGTCACAAATGCTAGGAGAAATAAATCCTGTGTGAATATAAACAATATTCACACATATGCCATAGAGCTTTTTTTGTGTACATGTGAGAACATCATCATTTAAATTTTTGTTGAGTCCAAGTGCTTATGGAAGTTGTAGTCAGCTGTCCAAGTGATTAGCTCAGTTAGTCATGTGACCTGTGGTGCCGGTTGAGTTTGAATGTTTATGGTAGTTGCAGTACATCAGGTAATTCAAACAATACAAACAGATACATGTGTTTGTAAACAAAAAACAAAATACAGAGCAAAATACAATTTTTTTAAAGGATGCTTCTGTTTATTCAGAGTTTAATTGACCATTTGATTCAGATTAGTTAATATTTACCCTTTATTTAAACAACTCATGTAGTTTTTATCTCAGTTCTATAAAAAATGATTTGTGCAACAATACTTGTGAATTTTATAGCACCATACCTACATGCTCAGAAATTTGTGCAGCCCTGTTACTTACTTACTTCACATTTGATTATATCAATTATTGTACCTACATTTCTGTTTACCTGCTGTCTTAATAAACCATTTGTGTGTTCAGGTCACACTGAGGCTCGGCTGGTGAGCAGCTTGGACTCCTGTTCTGGTCGAGTGGAGCTCCAGTACCTCAGTGAGTGGGGCACAGTGTGTGGTGTAAGCTGGGATATGAGAGCTGCCAGTGTCCTCTGTGGTCAGCTGAAGTGTGGAAGTGCTGTGGCTGTGTTGGGGTCAGACTGGTTTGGGGAGGGGAGTGGCCAGATCTGGGCTGATGTGTTTGATTGTCAGGGGAACGAAACACACCTGTCAAAATGTCCCATTTCATCATGGAGTCGAACTGCATGCTCTCATAAACAGGATGCTGGAGTCATCTGCAGTGGTGAGTTTGTTCAGCCATGTAAAGAGTGTTAATGGAAATAGTTTTTTTATGTAGAAAAGTGGGACAAAGAACCTCATGAAATGTGTAAAATGAAAAATATATTTTTGTAAACCTTTTAGTTTCATCCCTGGCATTTCATGAGGGCTGTGTGCGGTTGTATGGAGGGATGGAGTGTGAGGGGGAGGTGGAGGTGTACTTCAGGCAGGACTGGAGGAGAGTTCTGCTGGACTCCTGGAGTGAGTCTGAGGCCTCTGTGGTCTGCAGACAGCTGGGCTGTGGCTCTGTGATCAGCTTCTCCAGCTCCTCTACATCCAGTCCTGAACACAGACACATGTGTGTGACGGGTTTCAGTTGTTCTGGGAGTGAAGCTCATCTGGGAAACTGCAGCAGTGCACAAGCAGTCAACTGCAGCTCCAGAAAACAACTGTACATCACCTGCTCTGGTAAGTGTTTTGGAATTATTTTGGAACACCTTAATATAAACAGTACACCTTAAAATAAAAATACACAGGTGTGTGTGCATGTATGTGTATATGTAAGTACATATGTTTAGTAAACATCTTGGATTTTTATATTTAAAACTGAAAAGAAACGAAAGAAAATTGAATTTGTATGTGTTTTAGCTCACAGCTCCATCAGGCTGGTTGGTTCTGGGGGAGACTGTGCAGGAAGGCTGGAGGTTTTCCACAGCGGCTCATGGGGGACAGTGAGTGATGACTTGTGGGATATTAAGGATGCGCAGGTGGTGTGTAGACAGCTGCAGTGTGGAGTGGCCCTCAGTGCTCTGGTACCAGCCCGGTTTGGAACTGGACACATATGGCTGAATGAGGTGGAGTGTGAGGGGAACGAGACGTCCCTGTGGAACTGCAGATTTCAGCTGTGTGGAGAGGATGAATGTGGACACAAGGACGATGTAGGGGTCGTGTGCTCAGGTAACATGATGACTGATATTAATGTAGGCCATGTGCAGATATGCAGCTTATCACTACTGTTATGAGAAAACATGAATCTCTGAAGCAGTAACTGTACAGAAGAAGAACAACATTCTTAACATCTGTTAATGAACATAAAAAGCCTGCTAACAAGGTGTAAAATGACATTGGGGAAGTTCATTAAAGCACATTATATAGATTTATTTTTGATGTATCAATTAAAAATGTGTTTTGTTTAATTTGAATTTGAAATGTATGACTATGTTGATATTAAAGACTTAATAGTAAGCATCCTTCTCTCACCAGAGTATAAAGAGATCAGACTCACTGAGGGCTGTGAGGGGAATCTGGAAGTGTTCTACAATGGAACCTGGGGTAATGTGTGTGTAAATGATATGGATGAAGAAACAGTGAATCTGATCTGTAAAGAGCTGAACTGTGGAAGATCTGGCACTTTGATCCAAGACAAAGCAAGAGTGGAATCAGCTCCTAACTGGCTGGATGATCTGAAATGTAGGAAACACGACTCCACTCTGTGGCAGTGTCCATCTTCACCCTGGGGACAGAACCACTGTGATAATCACAATGAAGTGGCTCAGATTACCTGCTCAGGTAGGCAGTTTCTCTCTGTAGTTGAGATTACCATTGGTAGAATTATTTCCATCTGAATGTAAACAAAAATATTACAGCAGAAGTGAAAATCTGAGAATTGTGAAATAAATCTGGTAGATAATCTGTATGATTTTGTGTTCTTAAAGTTACATTTGAGAACAAAACAGTTAACCGGAAATTATGTTTTCTGTATTAACAGGAGAGATAAATCATTCTTTGCTGCAAAACCATCTGAAATGTTCTTCATATCCTAACCAGAGTCAATGCTCAAGTAAGGACACTCAACTCTTTTCGGAGTTGAAAAATGAAAGTGTGATTGTTATATGTTGAAATTAACATTAATTAAAATAAACAAAGCGCAGTCTCACCTTTAAACAGAATGTATTTACATCCAAACCTGATGTTGTCCAACATTGTAGGAATTATAACCTTTTCATACATAGTCCTCCATTTTTAAGGACTTCATGGCCAGGTGTGTCATTTGGAAGGGCAGATTAGAGGGCTCTAAAAAAAATACTGAAAGAATATCTTATGGACAGTTGGGAAGAGATGAGTATAGAGAAGGAAGAGAACTGCTAATGAGCCAAAGCGTACTCTCATCTGTCACGCATGGTGGAGGTAGTGTTATGACGTGTGCATGTATGACTGCCAATGGTATTGATTTGTTTGTATTTATTGATGACTGCTGACAAATGCAGCAGGATGCTAGTCTAGCGTTTTGCGTGACATCACACTGTATAGTGGCCACCATTTTGAGGACCGAATCAGGGAGTGACTGAGCTAGCACGATGATGATTTCAATTTGCTGTGCTTTGTGAACGACTGACCTCCAAAACGCAGAAGCTGAAAATGACGGGAGACTACACAGATCTTTAATTCAGTGTTTTCAAACTCCAAGCTTGGAGCCACTGCACTGTATAGTTTAGTGTTTCTCTCTGCTGTTCACACCTCGTTCAGATCAAGAAGAGATTAATTAGCTAATAATCTCAGGCATTCTAACCTGGGAAACCACAGTTATGCAGTGCAGGGGTTGCAGGACTGGAGCTGGGGAACTCTGCACTAATTGCACTAGCAAACTTACAAAATCACGCTTGGCCCAAGACCCTTAGCTCGCAGCATGAACTCATGACTAAGCAGGGAGCCGTGTGTGTGTGCTCTCCTGAAATCGAGTGAGCACAGCTTATCATCACCAGTCCTAATCAGCCGGGTTCTACTCTGTGTCTCCCTCTAGTGGCCGGGGGTGGCCGAGCAGGAGACTGAGACGTTACAACCAAGCTGTTTGCTAGCTCCATTAGGGGGGCAACTGTTTATCTCTTGGCTGTTAATAATAGCAAACGTTATCTAAAGGCTAGCATTGTTCACATCTGTGTTAATGAGCTGATGTCACCTTACCCTTCCTATGATACAAAGAGTTTTTCTCCTCTTTATGCAACACCATGGGATCCTTTACCCACCCTGACATGAAGAGCCGATGGGCTTCTGTGCTTTTAAATGCTTTGAAAGACTCTCCAGAATAGGAAGAGGGGTTGTATATGAGATAAATATAAATGTCAGGAAAACACAAATTTGTTAGCTTTTCGGGCCAGTTTGAGTGGGACCAGGAGTTCAGGGGGAAACTGTATAAAGATCACAGCCTATTTTATCGACTTTGTTGAGATAAAGTTTTTTTCCTCTTGCAAAACTTATTGGACAGTGCTTCACAGTGCAGATGGACAATGACCTAAAGCATACTGCGAAAAGCAACCCAAGGCTTTTTTTACACAAAAACCATAAAGGTCTACAACGGCCAAGTCAGCTATCTGACTTCAGTCCAGTTGAGCATGCATTTCACTTTCTGGAGGCAAAACTAAAGGGACAACACTCCAAGAACACGTAGGAAATGATGACAGCTGCGGTTATGGCCTGGCAGAGTATCCCAGGGAAAAAAATCAGTATCTGGTGATGTCTATGGTTTGAAATTTCATTGACTACAAAGGATTGGCAACCAAGTATTAAAAATGACAAGTTCATTTGTGATTATGTAAGTTTTAGTTTTAAATACTGTTGTGATATGTGGGTTATGTGTGAAAATGGTTGTAATTCCTACCCAGTTCATCCGATTTTGGTTGAATACCCTCAAATTAAAGCTGACCGTCTGTCAAATCAATTATTTAATTAATTTATTGTATATTACTCCAATGTGGTGATATATAGCTAAAATAACAATAACATTGCTGATGTCCAAATATTTATAGATCTGACTGTACCTTCTTTTGTCAATCTCATCTAAGCTTTAAATTTGTTATTGATGGATGTTTTTCCCCCACAGTAGAAATACATATTATTGAATTTTATTATGCTATATATTGTTGTGAGTTTTGAAAATGCAGTAATTACTCAGTGTTAATTACTGATATCTCCTCATGTGTGATGTGTGTGATGTAGAGCACCTGCCTCTCAGGCTGAGGGGAGGAAAGGGAAGCTGCTCTGGGAGGCTGGAGGTGTATCATAACGCTGAGTGGGGGTCCATCTGTGAGGATCTGTGGGACATCAGGGACGCTCAGGTGGTCTGCAGACAGCTGGACTGTGGGCCGGCACTGAGTGCTGATGGGAGTTCTGTCTTTGGTGCTGGTGAAGGGCCTATCTGGCTGAACAGAGTGAAGTGTAGAGGGAATGAGATTCACCTGTGGGACTGTCCTCATTCCCTGAAGAACCACACTGACTGCTCCCACAGGCAGGACGCTGGAGTCACCTGTGCAGGTCAGAGAAGCCTGGTAACTTTGAGTATCGTTGACCTAATCAATATTTTTCTCCTGGAGTTTATTTTGAATAGAAAATAATATTCAAAGAATGTTAAAAAGTGCATAAAGAGCTTGTAAAAAACATAAAAATTAAGTAAAAAACATAATTAATTAATGAACTAAAATGAGTTAAATAAACAGACAAAACAAATATAAAAACAAGAACATGCTGGTTGGTGTTTCACATTATTAAGTACTACATACACATTTTATATATACTAACTGTTTCTAATTACTATGTAGTTACACTTTAACCTATTTGTGCAGAAGCGCCCTCTCGCTAGTTTACATGTGCAGCACGCCTCCCCAAACACTCAGCCTCTTCAAATATGCTTAAGATGTAAGATAACTTACATACCATCAAAGCAACTGTATGAAACCATTGAACAGTGTATGAAATGTCAGTAAAGTTCTTTATTTGCTTGCTCACCTTTTTTTTACAAAACATGCTTTCATTTCCATCCTAACCAGAAGGTAATATTCTCGAGCTTTTAGTGACCATGAACATACCACACAGATGTTGAAAGTGAGACATTTTACCATTTCATGAAAAAATATTAACTCATTTAGAACTTGATGGCAGCAACGCATCTCAGAAATGTTGGGACAGGGCCATGTGTACCATTGTGTACCATCCCCTCTACTTTTGACAACAGTCTGTAAATGTCTGGGAAGTGAGGAGACCAATTGCTGGAGTTTTGGGAGAGGACTGTTGTCCCATTCTTGTCTGATGTAGGATTCTGGCTACTCAACAGTTCTGGGTCTTCTTTGCTGGATTTTTCGTTTCATGATGTACCAAATGTTTTCTGTTGGTGAAAGGTCTGGACTGCAGGCAGGCCAGTTCAGCATGCGGGCTCTTCTTCTGCGAAGTCATGCTGTTGTGATGGATGCAGTATGTGGTTTAGCATTGTCTTGCTGAAATATGCAAGGTCTTCACTGAAAGAGACGTTGTCTGGATGGGAGCCTATTTTGCCAAAACCACTATATACAGTTCAGCATTGATAGTGCCTTTCCAGTGTATTAGATGCCCACATCATAGGCACTAATGCAACCCCATACCATGAGAGATGCAGGCTTTTGAACTGTGTTAAATGCCTGCATTTTTAGTAAGCTTTAGCTTAGGATGCTTCACAGTTTAGGTTTTTACAATTTCTGCTTTTTTTCTGCCTTTACAATGTATATTTCAGATTTTCATTTATGTCATATTTATTGAGGTAAACATTTTCTTGCCAAGAAGATGCTTTATAGAGAAGTGTTGAATTGGTTGTAAGGTTTATGTTAGTCTGTGCTATAATTTTGCTATAATTTTGTCTTGATGTATTTATAATGGTGACATGCAGACATGTACTGTGGTTAGAATGCTGCCATCATGGTGCTGCAGTTTTTATTGTTCACATGCTGTATGTAATAGTAAGAGAGTCCGAGGTTGTAACCGTCTTGTTCCAATATAGCTCTTATAGATCACTTGTACCACTTCTAAAGAGTTTATGAGCTCTATATCTAGAGACTAATTACAAACTAGAATTGTAGCTTTATTTATCACCTTGATAGTTTTAATGTTCTTTTATGTTTGTTTAGTTGTCTTTGTGTTTCTAATCATGAAAAGCAGAAGTGAGGGCGGCAAACATGCTGAGTTCAGCTCAGTCATAATTGAGCTGTGGACAGGTTGGAGATTTTGGGTGTTTTGGGGCTGGAGGCCCATCCTAACCAGAGGAGGACCATCCAGGAAATGGCTTAGCAGGTACCCTAATCAGCTGGTGTAGCATGTCCTTCTAGTCCCAGCACTGAGCTCAGGGGTGCAAGGCAACAGGACCACTGAAACTGCAATCTGCAAAAAGCATCTCTCTGTCTGTGGAATAAAAGGTCTCTGGCCAAAGTGGCACCAGTTTGCTTATTAGTGCCCATAATGGTGGCCGCACCCATTATCCCCTCCACTTCTACAGCCACAACCCGACCAAACAATCAGATTTAAGGTTCTAAGTTTAGAACCTAAATACTCAAGGTTATTTTTTTTTTTTAATAAATACTTTAAAGCTCTCTCTCTGTCTCTAAATAATAGAAAGTGAATTTTACCTTTTTTTCCCAGACTTATCTGTATCTACCACTGTTACATCCAGAGTAACTACTATTACCATCACAGGTACTGTTTTTTATACATTTCTGTGATTTTTATGAAAGTTTTCTATATGTAATGTTTAATGAAGTTTCTATTCTGTATTTTAATTTCCAGCTGGTCAGACAGAGAATGAAGCAGTTACTCCTCCACAAACTCCGTCACCAGCTGCTTCATCCATCTATCCAGTGTCTCTCCTGGTTCTGGGTGTGCTGCTCTTCCTGGCCTTAGTGCTTCTGGTTGTGCTGTTTTACCAGAACAGAGTGCTCAGGAGAGGTAGAGAGATTCAGAGATCATCTACAATCCACTTTCTGTACATTCTCTAAACATCATTACACCTTCAGTCCAACATCAGTCTTCTCTTCTACTGAACTGGCTCCATGTTTCTCTCTGTCTCCCTCACAGTGCTCTCTAAGAGGAAGCATAAGACTCTGACTGAGGCAATCTATGAAGAGATTGATCAGAGAATCATCGCTAAGAGAATGACTAAAAAGGGTAAATGATGTGAAGTATTTTCCTGGAGGCAATCCTAATGAGCTCCCAGTGATTAGAGAAAATTGTATTTGTCCCTTTTATGTCTCCTTAAAAATGCTGGAGTTTGTAATCATGAAGGTTGTGAGATTTCCTGGCTAACATTGACCAAGAACATTTTGAGCTGGTTGCAGCAGGCTGAGAAGATTTTATGTAACAAGTAGTAATCATGTAGAAGGTTAAGAGCTTCCTAAAGTTCCTAAATAGATAACATAAATAAACATCTTTGTCAATACAATTAGTTGATAATGTGCAATTGGAACTAATTGTTCCTGGAAATGTGTAAGAAAGATTTCCTAATTACATTTCCTTCATCAAAGGAAACATGAATGGAACAATGTACCACAACATATTAGATTAATTTTAATCTCACTGACCAAAAAAGGTGAGAAGGTGAAACTTTCAACAAGACATACAGCCAGAATTAGGCAAGGCTGGTTTCTAAAATGTGTGAGATTGGCTAGGCTGTGCTTGCACATGGCTCACACACCTGCTTTGCAATTTCTCAAATTTGAATCCCATTAAAAATCTTCATGTTATATGGCTCCGAGGTGTGTAATTGGTGAGCCAGTGAGTCTTTCAGAGAATGTCATCAAATGTGATGTGGTGATCTCAGAGGTAGCTTGTCCATTTAAGCAAGTAAGAATTCCTCACTAAAAATGGAAAAATCTAATTTATTTCATAAGTATTACTCAAAGTTTTGTTTATTTCTTCTGCATTTGAAAAGCCTAAATGGTCCCACACCTACTTTTTATGTTTTGTACTTGTTATAAAGCTTAATAAAAAATATATATATAATAAAAACTTGAGTTCCAGCTTCCCCTGAGCAGCATTAATCTGGTGGTTGTTGACAAAACAGGTAGTGTTTTACAGATTCAGTGAAATGCTCCAAAATACCATATATATGATGAAGAGGGCTGTGCCAAATACTCACAGAAACTTCATTTAGCATTACTATGTAGCATAATAACTGGTATTGTTTTGTAATAGCTGGACAGTTTAGTTGCTGCAAGAGAAAATAATGATAACAACAAAGATGATGAAAATAACGAGGTGATTAATGGGAGCTTTTATGCGCTTTTGTTTGACATTGTTTGACATTTTGAATGTATATCTATCAGGAAGTATCCTCTCTGAAGAACAGCATTCAGGATATGAGGATGTGGATGAGGAGCTTCTCTCAGGTAAGAGGACCAGAACATGTCTATGTTAAACTCCATTCAACTCATAAATATTAGAAATGTAATTGTAAAATATTCAAATGATCAAATGGATTCTTTAGCCAGGACTTCCAGGCTTGTGTAGATCATAGCTTCAGTTCTTCTGTAGATGTTGTTGATTTTCTCTTCTGTAGCTGATTAAATCCGACACTCTCACATTCGTGTCTTCAAAAATCTTGTGCAGGCTGATGGCATTTATGCATACATTTTGAAATATGCATGTTTCCATCTCATGAAGTTTGAAAATATTACAGTTATTACTATAGAAATAATCTTTTGCAGGCACGTCAGGTTGATGGAGAGATGTAGAAAATAATTTTCTTCTTTCTCTTCCAGAAAAGGCTGTAAATGAGGAAAAAGCTGAATATTATAATGATGTCACCACCAGTGGCCTGAAAAGTGGGTGCCTTTATAGAGATCACTTCACTGAAAGGCTTCATGAAAAGATTAATTAACTCTTTGTGAAACATGTTTTGTATGTGATTTAGGTGAGATGGGAACAGAAGACACTCCAGAGAACTATGATGATGTCATTTCTGCTGGACAGACAATGGCTAGAGAAGGAAGTGAGTTCCTGTTGTTTAATTTTTGCGTTGAAAAATCACTCGTCTGTGCTACAACAAATCAGCTTTGGTTTGGTTGATGTGGAATAAAGAAATGTGTGATTAATGATGAACAGAGCAGGATTTACACATAGAGAAAATGATCTGAAACCTGGACAAATCTCTCTCTGCTGGTGCAAAACAGTGCTAGCCAATTGGAAATGAATTTAAATCACATGTGCACAGTTTCACAGTTAGTGTTCTCCTCTATTCATGTCCTAAAATATTGTGCTAACAGTGTGTTGTAGTGGAAGCTACTCCTTCCCTTCTCTGTGTGGTGGCTGTTGTATGATTGGATCTAGATCTCTTCATGTCACCATTATTTACTCTACACGGATCTCAGACACTGTGACAGTTACACCTAATCATGTGACGAAACTGTAAAATCAAGCTTAATGACACTAAAACCGACATTTATTTCCACATTTTGACAGAGAACAAGGTGGAGATCTATGATGACGCAATTCCTGCTGGAGAAAATCTAAACTTTACAACAGGTTTGATTCTTTAAAAATGGAAAATTAACTATGAACACATCATGAACATGCATTAGTTCAGTAATCATTTTTCCACATATGTTTGTGCAGTGTACACACCAGAGAACTATGATGATGTCATCACTCCTGGACAGGATTTTGGAGATTCAGCAGGTGAGTCTTCTTTCTACTTTATTGAGGTGGAAACTAAACTGGATTAAATGTGTTTTTCTTGCTCTCTCACACTTCATTGCAGAGCACTGTTAGTTAAACATGGATTTGCATCACTGTAAAGTTACATACATGAAGAAATATACTGCAATGATAATGATGTATATATGGAGTGATATCATGCCTGTGTTTAAGATGTTTGTCACTTATTCAACAACTTTTACTTTCAGGCTATGATGATGTGGTAGAGGTGTCTGAGAAAGAGGGACAGATCATCTGACAGAGACCCAAATAATCCACCTACTCAGGAAATGAAATTTGAGCTTTTTGAAACTCAGCCAAAGGTTAAACAACACCAGCTGTTTTGATATTCTTTTTAAAGATAAGATTTTGTATCCTTTGTGACTGTGCTTGTTAATGTTTAATGATGAAAATTACAATGTCCTCCTTAACTAATTCTATTCTAAATTCACTTTGCTTTTGTTTAAAAAAAAAATAAAAAATAAATAATTGCACTCACATGCCAAAAGTCACGGGACAGCAATATGTAAATTGATTATGTAGTGGTGTTACCTAAGGGGACGGCTTGGCCACCCACACTTGTTTATGTTGTGAGGTGTTATCTTGTGAGTGAGGATGAACACTGGCCAGCAGACTCATGGCAAGGCGATGTGAATTATCAGAGTTGGAATGAGGCATGATAGTGGGAGCCAGACGGATGTGAAATTCCGTTTCCGAAGTTATGCTGACATTTAATATTCCTTGATCCACAGTGTCATGCGTGTACAAGAATACATCATAGTATGCATTACCAGCCACAGTGGACAGCACAGTGGCTGCCCACGGGTGCATAGTGATCGTGACTGGTGGCGTGTGGCTAGAATTATCTGTGTGAACAGACAAGCGACTCTGGCAGAAATCACATCCTCATTCAATGCAGAAGGCCCCACATACATATTCCACAGGTCAGTGCAGCGTTCTTTAGCTTCCATTAAATATGCAAGCAGAAGACCAACCATAGTACCTCTGTTAACACTATGATACTGGACACAGCGCCTCACCTGGGCTCTTGAGGATGCTAACTGGGCCCTAGAGGACTAGCAACATGTGGTGTGATCCAATGAGTCATGGTACCAATTGTTCTGGGCTGGTGGTATGGTTCGTGTGGGCCACAGACCCCATGAAGCCATGGATCCCAGTTGTCAAAAAGGCACTGTGCAGGCTGGTGGTAGTTCCATACTGGTGTGGGGTGTGTTCTCATGGCATGGGTTGGGTTCTCATGGCATGTGTTCGGTCCACTGATCTGCCTGAACACATCAATGACTGTTTTACTGCTTGGTGACCATTTGCAGCACTTCATGGACTTCATGTACCTCCACAATGATGGGATATTCCAGTAGGGTAATAAACCGTGACACCAGGCCCAAGTTGTCCAGAGTTGGTTTGAGGAGCATTCTGGAGAGTTCCAGCAAATTACGTGGCTTGCATGTTCGCCCCAATTGGGCATTTATGGGATGTGGTGGAGAGGTCCATTCACACTCAAGATCCTGCACCTACAAACATCACAGTGCTGTGGGTGGCTATCCAGACAGCATGGCTCAGCATCCCCCCAGACGTCTTCCGTCCACTTGTGGAATCAATACCACATTGAGTTTCTGCACTTTGCTGGGCTAGAGGGGGTCCTACACCATGCTAGTTCCTGTCCCATGACATTTGGCATGGCAGTGTATAAAGAAAAATACATTAACTAAATGTTCATGGTCTGTAAACTGAAATTGTTCAATGCCAGTGTTATTTACATTTATTTTCTTGCTTTATTAATTTGTTTTGTTGCTCTTTGTAGCTGCTCACAAGTCAGGCTACACATTCTGTATTATGCAAATGATTATTCAGCTCAGTCTTGATTGTATATTGTAATAAGTAAATGAACAGATCTCCACATATCACTACAGAGCACAGATGCAGGAAAGTGGTTTAAGTTGGAGGTGCTGACATTTTCAGCAGTATATAAGTGAGAAATATCATAAAGTCATGCTTAGTAGTGTTTTTTCTTTTTTATTTGAATTGTTTAGAGAGAGATGACAAGATACAACAGTACTCATAAAACCAGCACGGCTCACTTTGCTGTCTTTGCAAATAAGCTGAGGGCTGACCTATCAGATTGTTCATATGAGGAATGAAAGCAGCTTGCGTCACAGCCATAGCCATGCGCACATATAGTTAGAGATTATTACAATGTTTTCACAGTTTGTTTCCTGTTTCTAATAGTGTCCACTTCACATGCAATTCTTAAAATAACATACTGGACATTTTAATCCTGACAAAAGTTCAAACCCATTGTGTTCCCAGAGACGACACAAAATGGCCTGAAACTATTCTACATCAAGGTAGATTTTCAATGATAACTGAATATTGTGTATGGAAAAGTAATGTCTTATAGCACCACCACCTGGACAGAACATAAAAACGTGACTCCAAGAAGCTGCAGTTTGAGTGACAGAATGTTCAACAAAAAACTAGAACACATACTGCTCATTTACTTAAGAGCCAAATAGAAGAAAATATACATAACTTGTTAGTTAATTTGAGTTTTGAGTCCATGAGTGATGAGATGTTAGTTTCCTACAATTACAGTTTATATAACATCTTACATTAGCACAATGAAGCTTACTTTACTTAAGGAACAAAGAAAATATACAGAACTCACTTTTGTTTGATTTTGCAATCAATCTCAGTTGTGAAGTTGTGTAACATCATCACCATCAAGTGTTTGACATGCCAAAAATACACTGAGCTACAAAGTCAATTTGTTTAACATGTCATTTCATCCCAGAAAGTGTTGTGACACCTAATGTTTGCAAAAACCTGTCACTTTATGTGTTGGAGATCGGCATCTTTTGATTTCCAGTCAGCCTTCATCTGATCCTACATCGAACTCGTCCAGAAATGAAAACCTGAAGAGTGCACTGATCCTTTTTGCGACACCCAGGAGGATAAAGCAGGACTGACACATACGGCCGTGCCTCTCAGTCATTACCCCAATGACAATATTGAATGTAATTATAAGGTTTTTCTCTGCTTTTCTTCTCAAATGTTGGCAGGTTGGTGATTGTCCAAAGATATTATTAAAGAGATTATTAAACTCTGTGAACATTTTACCCATGTGTGTATTTTGTTATCAAAGATGATCTACTGCTATGAAAAACTACATCCTTCAGATATACAAGAAATTATTACTATTTTTTGTTGATTAAATGCAAACTCTGGATAAACATCTGTTCTACTACTGATCGATCTCAGCACTGCCTTGGATACTAGTGACCATAAAATTCTCATAAATAGACTTGAGAACTAGTTTGGGCTTTCAGTAACTGTCCTAAAATGGTTCAGTTCATAGCTGCTACTTTGTGAAAATTGAAAATAATATTTCTGAGAGAGTGCCAGTGACCTGTAGCGTCCCCCAGGGTTCCATTCTTGGGCCACTCTTATTTAATTGGTACATGCTGCCTCTTGGCCAGATACTACAAGACTATGGGATATTTTACCACAGCTAGGCAGATGATACTCAAATCTACTTGGCCCTTTCCCCAAACAACTATTGACTCACTTTGTAAGTGCCTTGCACACTTTACTAACTGGATGGGATACAACTTTCTGCAGTTGAATAAAGATGAAACAGAGATTATTTTATTTACGAATAGCAATAAGAGGCACAGACTAGCTGCCTGTCTGCATTAAAGAGCCCAGAAATCTAAACTAGTATGTAACCTTGGTGTACTAATGGATTCTGATCTTTTAGCAGTCATTTTAAAGCAGTTACTAAATCAGCTTTTTATCTCCTTAAAAACATCAACAAGATCAGAGATGTTGTGACTAAAGCAGACCTGGAGAAACTCATCTATACCTGTATTTCTAGCAGGATTGATTACAGTAATGGTCTCCTAACTAGACTTTAAAAAAAGACAAACCGCTTCAGCTGATTCAGAATGCAGCTGCCAGAGTAAAAGAGTAAAACAAGGGAACACATCACCCCCACTCTTAAATCCTTACACTGGTCCAGTCTGTTACAGAATAGACTTTAAGATCCTTTTACTGGTCTATAAACCACTCAATGGTGCAGGACCAGCATATTTATTTCATATGTTACAGCGATTTGAGCCAAGCAGAACTCTCAGATCATTAGGAACTAGTCAGTTAGTCCTGCCAAAGGTGAAAACTAAACATGGAGAAGCAGCGTTTAGCTACTATGCTGCTTTAAATGACAGCGTTAGAAGAGCCCCGACACTGGACACATTTAAATCCAGGCTCAAAATGTTCCTATTTGAGCAGCTTTCATCTCAGCTTTAGTGTTTCTAGCTCTTCTCCTCTGTAACAGCATTTTTTTTATCCTATTCTAACTTTTATTTTTTTAATTGGTTTTTAACTATCCTAACTGAATTTGATTTTTAATTATCTATTGGTC